GAAGGGAGACAATCAAGTTTTAAAAGTTTGAATGTTAGACATAAGAGGTAAGGAAAGGAGAACCGTTTCAACCAAATTAACATGGGCTATTACCCTTGAAATACTATAATTTCTTAAATCCGGTAACACACCTGGCTAATACTGTAAGGAAATTATGAGGCGTCTGTTATTATTACTTGAATATTGCATTCATCTAATCAGAATAATACTTCTCTAGACCCTGAGGAACTTCTCTGCATATTCCACTTCAAAAAATGAAGGACATTTTCAAAAATGAGGGACAATTTAAAAAATGAGGGACAATTTAAAAAATGAGGGACAATTTAAAAAATGAGGGACAATTTCAAAAATGAGGGACAATTTCAAAAATGAGGGACAATTTCAAAAATGAGGGACATTTTCAAAAATGAGGGACAATTTCAAAAATGAGGGACAGTTTCAAAAATGAGGGACAATTTAAAAAATGAGGGACAGTTTCAACATTGAGGGACAATTTAAAAAATGAGGGACAGTTTCAAAAATGAGGGACAATTTAAAAAATGAGGGACAGTTTCAAAAATGAGGGACAATTTAAAAAATGAGGGACAGTTTCAAAAATGAGGGACAATTTAAAAATGAGGGACAGTTTCAAAAATGAGGGACAATTTAAAAAATGAGGGACCGTTTCAAAAATGAGGGACAATTTAAAAAATGAGGGACAGTTTCAAAAATGAGGGAGGGACGTTTTATAAAAATCTTTACAGGATTAAATTTCTTAAATTTTACCAACTTCTACAACTGCATCATTTTCTTTTTTCTTTCGTCATAAGTTTCCCGTCATTTGTGGAAATTACAATTTTTTAAATTTAAATCTAAAAATAATCGTATGATCACAATGTCTGTCAATGTTAACCGGTTGTAAAACGTATGAACGTGAGTCAGTCAGATATTCCTCAGTCGTGGTTCGATGCTACGTAGAACTGATGTGAGCCACCACTGGAGAAACCACACTTGCAGTTACGTGTCAGCAGAACCTGAAATTGGATAGGTTTCTACAGAGGAGAGATTCTTAACATTCTCTCTGATCGTACACCAAAAAAACTGGATCGAATCTGGCACGACCCAGATTGGGTCATGGCGATTCCCTTTGTTGAATGCCGAGGTCAGGGATAGGACAGCGGCACAACCATGGCTGGAAAGATTAAAGGAGGTTCGATCAAATCTCCTTAAGTCAAACACGCAATGAATTCGTGTGGATTGAATGCAGCTTCAAGATGTCTGGAGGCCGAAGCATCTTTTGCATGGAGTTGTTAAAAACTCCGTGCACTATCCTTTCAGCACAGCAACAGCCCGACAACAGCGCTGATATCTAACTAAAGCAAATGATTGGTGGTGTTCCGCTCCTTGGACTTTCTATGACTCTCTGTACTGAAAGACTTGATGGTGTTCGACCTTTCTCGAACCCCTTGCCTGGAATAAATGAAGCCCAAAGACACATGCAGATGAAGATGGAGCAATTTATAGGACATTCTTACGTGTCATAGTAGCAAGGGTTCCGGGGGGGGGGGGGGGGNGGGGGAGTACTAACTTTGACCGCGTGCAACCAGATTACTCAACCCAGAAAGCTGATATTGATATTGAAGTGATCATTGAAGTGAGCATTAATGTGACCATTGAAGTGACCACTGAAGTGAACATTGAATTAACCATTGAAGTGAGCATTAATGTGACCATTGAAGTGACCACTGAAGTGAACTTTGAATTAACCATTGAAGTGAGCATTAATGTGACCATTGAAGTGACCACTGAAGTGAACATTGAATTAACCATTGAAGTGAACATTAATGTGACCATTGAAGTGACCACTGAAGTGACCACTGAAGTGAACTTTGAATTAACCATTGAAGTGAGCATTAATGTGACCATTGAAGTGACCACTGAAGTGAACATTGAATTAACCATTGAAGTGAACATTAATATGACCATTGAAGTGACCACTGAAGTGACCACTGAAGTGAACATTGAAGTGAGCATTAATGTGACCATTGAAGTGACCACTGAAGTGACCATTGAATTACCCATTGAAGTGAGCATTAATGTGACCATTGAAGTGACCCCTGAAGTGACCACTGAAGTGACCATTGAATTAACCATTGAAGTGCGCATTAATGTGACCATTGAAGTGACCACTGAAGTGACCATTGAATTAACCATTGAAGTGAGCATTAATGTGACCATTGAAGTGACCACTGAAGTGAACATTGAATTAACCATTGAAGTGAACATTAATGTGACCATTGAAGTGACCACTGAATTGACCACTGAAGTGAACATTGAATTAACCATTGAAGTGAGCCTTAATGTGACCATTGAAGTGACCACTGAAGTGAACATTGAATTAACCCTTGAAATGAGCATTAATGTGACCACTGAAGTGACAACTGAAGTGACCACTGAAGTGAACATTGAATTGACCATTGAAGTGAGCATTAATGTAACCATTGAAGTGACCACTGAAGTGACCATAGAATTAACCATTGAATTAAACATTGAAGTGACCATTGAAGTGACCGCTGAAGTGACCATTGAAAGGACCCATCTGAATTAACTGATATGTGAAATGAAATCTGTTGGGGTGGGGTGATTGGGGGGGTGATGGGGGGGGGGGGGGGAAATGGTCTGGTAAACCAACAAACCTCAATGGGGAATTACCAAAAGGGAAGGGG